CCGCTCCGGCTGCAAAGTTTGGGAAACGCGAGAGACCTGTCTGAGGAGCAGGAGGGGAGGAGGAAGTCATCTAATACCAAGCAGGTGTCTGGAGAACCCAAATTGTGCTGTTTTCTCCTAATAATGAAGTATTCATGAGTAAAAGCCTTTTCCACTACTTTCTTAAGATACTAATTTCACAACAAGCGCCTTGTTACCATGCAATTATTCCAATCTTGCATTTCTCCGAGATTCCATCTGTCCTAGCGCTCTCTAAATGAAAGACAATCATGTAACCACCTTTCATTATTCACTATTTTACTTTCAGCAAAGGTACCCTGAAAGAAATGATTTCCTCTGAAAGGGACTTTTATTCGGTTTCAAAACCAATTTTCTGCTTTTACTGTCTTAAAAAAAAAAAAGGGAGGGGGGGAAGGGAGGTGTTTTTATTTCATACATTACATATCCTTTGTTAATGCAGCTCACAGTAAAAGCAGCCGTATCCATTTTCTGGCTTCGATTTCTGGTAATTTTAAAATATGCCATTACAATCAGGCAGAAATTATACAGTTTGAAAAGAGAATGAAGTGCTTCTTATTCAGAGACCGAGCGCACTTGACTGCTCAGTAGCGTGCGTCTCTCCGCCGGGACCGGGGTTCATTACGCAGCCCCGCGCGGAGCGGGGTGGCAGCCCTCCCCGGCACGCACGGATGCGCGGCACGCGCGGAGGCACGACCCACGCAGAGGCACAACCTCCGCGGATGCATGACCTGCACGGATGCACGACTCGCACGGATGCATGATCTGCGCGGATGCATGACCTGCACGGATGCACAACCCGCACCAATGCACAACCTCCACGGATGCATGATCTGCGTGGATGCACAACCCGCACCGATGAATGACCTTTCCGGATGCATGATCTGCTTGGACAACCCGCACCAATGCACAACCTCCACGGATGCATGATCTGCGTGGATGCACAACCCGCACCGATGCATGACCTTTGCAGATGCATGATCTGCGTGGATGCACAACCTGCACTTACGCACGACCTCTGCAGATGCATGACCTGCGTGGATGCACAACCTGCACCGATGCACGACCTTTGCGGATGCATTACCCACACGGATGCACAACCTGCACGGACGCACTACCCGCACAGATGCACAAACCACGCAGATGCATGATCCACGTGGATGCACGAACCGCACGGATGCACGACCTCCGCGGACGCATGACCCACGTGGACGCATGCCACACACGCAGGCACCACCTGCACAGATGCACCACCTGCACGGACGCGTGGCACACATGGAGGCACCGCCCGCGCGGAGACAGGACCACGTGCGCA